GCGAGCCTGACGGGCCTGCAGGTGGCCCCGGAGCAGCCCCCGCCCCCGCCCCCGCGGCCGCCAACGCCCGAGGCTCCGGGACCCAGGCCGGCTTCCTCCGGGTCTCTCGCGGTTGCCCTGGGCCACCCACCCCCCCCCCCCGGCTGCACGAGGACACCCCCCGGGGGCTCAGTGCCTGAGCGGCCGCCTCCCCATCCCAGCTCCCGGGTTCGAGTCCTGCATGGGCCCCCGCAGGGCGCCTGCTTCCCCCCTGCCCCTGTCTCTGCCTGTTGTCTCTTACAAATAAATAAATAAAATCTTAAACCAAAACAAACAGAAAGGTTTCTAGAAGGAAGCAGTTTCGGGGTGGCCCAGGCTCATACCTCAGTCTGCTGCCCTGATATGGAGGCTTGTTTGTCCTTGGGCGCAGCAGGGATCCCAGCATCACAGACAGAACACCTGAGCAAAGAAGAGAGCTTTTCTCCCTTGTCTTTTTATTATTTTATTATTATTAGTTTTAAAGACTTTTTTTATTCATTCATGACACACAGAGAGAGGCAGAGACACAGGCAGGGGGAGAAGCAGGCTCCATGCAGGGAGCCCGACGTGGGACTCGATCCCAGGTCTCCAGGATCATGCCCCGGGCTGAAGGCGACACTAAACTGCTGGTCCACCCGGGCTGTCCGGATGATGATGATGATGGTGATGATTGATGATGATGATGATGATGATGGAGACCTCCCAGAAGAGCACCAGCAGACACTCCTGGCCCCGCTGGCAGGGACTGGTTTGCACAGGGGCTGCCTTATTATTATTAATTATTATTATTATTATTATTATTTTATTAGGGAGGACCCTCCCAGAAGAGCACCAGCAGGCACTCCCGCCCTGCCGGCGGGGACTGGCTTGCACACCAGGCCTCCGTGCGGGCAGGGGTGGGAGGGCACCCAGTGCGAGCACCGCACTAGATCCTACGCCCACCGGCCTCCCCAGGACAGTGTCTGTCCCTGCTGTTTACCTAAATTTGTTAAAACATTTAGGGAAGTAATTCGTCCTTGTTGAAAACGAAGTAATAAAAGGTACTTTAAACAGGATAAAGTCGTTGAGGGGCAATTCTTGTTAACATTTCAGTACATCCTCATCCTGCCTGTTTCCGTACAGTTCCTACATCTGTAGCTGTAGCTGGGGAGGTGGCATTTAAAAATCATCCCTGCAGCTGCTGCAAACTTTCAAGAGAATGCCATAGTTTATCTTGAGGGAAGTTGATTTCTTAACTGGGAAATGTGTTGACAGGCCTTCCTCGAGGGGAAAACAAGTGGCACTCACCTGCACCCTGCCTGCCACCCAGTCTAAAAGGCAATAGTGAGACATAAAGAGGACTAAATTGAAAGACATTTTTAGGGGGCACCTGGCTGGCTCAGTGGTTGAACATCTGCCTTCAGCTCAGGTCCTGATCGTGGGATCCTGGGATCAAGTCCTGTATTAGGATCCCTGCAGGGAGCCTGCTTCTCTCTCTGCCTGTGTCTCTACCTCTGTGTCTCTCATTAACAAAGTCTTTAAAAAAAAAAAAAGATATTTTAAAAATTATTCGTTGATGACCTAAAACAGGCTTGAGGGCTGGTGACTATAGTGAAAGGGCCCGATGCGGGGAGAGAAGGCTTGGCCCGGGCCCTGGGAGGGGCTGCGAGGGCCGCTCACAGACTGGGTGGCTTAGGAACCGCAGAAAGGTATTTGTCACCGCTGGGGAGGCTGCAAGTCCGAGCTGAGGGCAGCCGCACAGTGGGGTCTGTGGGGCCCCCTCCCGGGTTCAGATGGCGAAGCTGTTGCATCCTCCGATGGTGGAAAGAAGAGAGGCCAGCTCCCCGACCTCTCCTTCTAGGGCGCTAATGGCATTCAGGAAGGCTCTACCCTCATGACCCGGTCACCGCCCCAACTCCGCCTCCTAACACATCACCATGGGGATTAGACTTCCACATGGGAATATGGGGGGGGCACCGGGCCTGATTGCAAATCCGAGTCCCCGCGCCCCGCGTGGTCCTCCCTCCCGGGGACCCAGGCCTCTTCCCTGCACTTGTAAGAAAGCGGCGGAAGCCTGTGGCACAAAGCCCCGGGTCCCCTGTAACCACCTCCCTGGTCTCGGCCCTCGCCCCGCCTCTCCTCCTACCCAGCCCAAGGCATTGGACACGTACTTACTTGGAAATGCCCAGCGCCAAGCTTTGCGTGATGTTATCAGGGACCCGGAGCTCCCCTCCTGCGGCCCCGCGACAGGCACCTGCCACAGTGCTGGGGCAGTGGGCGCTGCGCCCCCTCCGGCCACCCCTGCTGGCCTCTCCCCGGCAGCCCGCATACCTTCCCTGGACGCCTGGCGGCCACACGGTTCCATAATTCCTTTGGAGACCATGGCCCGGCTCCTCCAGGTTCCCCTCACCCCCGAGTCAGGGGTATTCATATAAATTTCTCCACTTCCACTGTGGGATGTGCCCTAACCCAGCTCGCTGTTAGCATGGGAAGAGCAGGGGAGCTGGGCCTGGAACATCCTAGTTCTGGCTTGACAATGGCCTTGGACAAGTTACAAGCCTTCCTATCCGAGGACAAGAGTTCGGAAGTCTTTTTTTGGCAAAGGCCCCCTTGCCCTCGATGAGCTGCACATCCATGACTTTGCGCTTACTAAATTATAGTTTCTCTATTTTATTAATCAAACAAAAACAACCTCCAATTACTTTTCTGTGTAGTATAAGCTGATCATGGCTGTTGTCTTAGCTGAGTAGATTCTAGCCAACGCAGACGTCTTCCTTAGCTTGGGCAACCTTATCTTACATAAATGTATGGATTCCCTTCAGCTTTTGGAATTCTGAGAATTGTGCAGACTCCACTAACCACCACCCCTGGTTGTGTGGCCCATACCGGGGACTCAAAGACGAAGCCCAAGTTTGGTGCCTCCATCACTTATCTTAAATAGTGAGGTTTCTGTCCTTTTGTGCCCTTTGTCCTTACAAGACCCATCACGTGGCCCTTCCCTTGGGCACAAACTCTGTCAAGGGAGTGACCACTCAAACCTCCCCTTTGCTTTCAGGGTCTTGCTCACTTTCATCGCCTACCAACACCATCAACATGTGCCATCGATTTTGATGGCTTCCTGGAGGGCTTACTCCCATATCAACCACACTGGGACAATCAGGGAGCTGGTGGAGAGTGTGAGGAGATGCCCAATAAGTGTTAGTTCAGCTCACACAAAATCCAGAGGAATTGGCTTAATATTGATTAATTCCCAGCGGATTAAAGGATGGAACAACCCCAAAGATGGCAGGATGGACCTGGCACATATTCACCCTCCCTGTCACTTAAGTCTGGACCCCCCTTCCGATGCCTTCTGCTCTCCTTCCATCCTACAGTAACTGCCTGTGGTTACTGCCTGCAGGCCTTTGTCCTGAACCTAATGCTCAGAAAATACTATTGTCATAAATAGCTCAGCTCTGACCACTCTGCATTTACCGAGTTGTTCGGAACACGGTAATGCCCAGCATATTAGGGTGGAGCTAGGAAAAGATTAACAGGGGTGCAAGGGTAGCCAGCTCGGGGAAGGGATCAAAGCACCAGCTCCAAGTGAGCCAGAAAACTTCTGATCCACTCAGGCCAGCCGCAGACCTGCAGATCCCTGGGCTTCCTCTCCCTTTCACATACCAGGTGTGGCAGATTGTAGGACTGTACCCTGTCCTATACAACACATTCCTTCTGCCACCACATGACTTGCACTATTTCCTGTGAGAATACACCGCCCCCACCCGCACTGGCCCTAGACTTGGCGTGAGATTTGCCTTGCATCAGGTATCTTGAGATGAGACGATTCAAGCCAAAGCCTGCCACCAGTGGCATGCCATGTGGGTGAAAAGAAAACGTGTGACTATGTCACCCTGAGACTTGAGAGTTATTCTTGCAGCATACTCTGGCAAAAGTTAATGTGCTGGGGTCAAACTCAATGCAATGGAGAAGCAAAGCAAACGAGTGAGGGAGAGTGCGCAAGGCCATGGTGGTGGTGGGGCTGTGGCAGATGGGAGAGGATCAGCTTAAGGTCAGCCTCCAGCATTAAGCTGTGTTATGAGTTAAAATAAAAAATGCTATTTGGTTAAACATCTGAGGCTAAGATTTTAATAACGCTGCTGACTGGTATTTACTACTAAAAGTTTAGACTATTAAGAAGCATGTAATTAAAAACAAAAAACATAATGACCCAACCTCTTGTTTTTCATAATCATTTAACTTCTTAGAGATCTTTTAGGCACCAATTTCTAGTTGAAAGAAACAACCTTCTGAAACTGGTAATTATTTACATTTCATTGTGATTTTTTTTTGTTTTAAAGGGAAATTATTTTTTTATTTTAAAAGTTTTAAGAAATTCTTTGACGTAGCTCCCCCAACATCAATATAAACTTCTACAAAACCAAACTAATCATAACACAAAAATAACCACCATCTGTCTTAAAGAAAGTGACTCTTATATAAATGGGGATTAGCAAGGGCATAGATTGATTCCACAGGATATTTCATTTAATTGATTTTATTATAACTGATCCCAGACCAGGAAAATGGAAATAACTGTCTTATAGAGAATCACACATTAAAATAGTTCTATTTGGGGGTACCTGGGTGGTTCAGTCAGTTAAGCATCCAACTCTTCAGTTCAGTTCAGATCATGATCTCAGTCCTTGGGATCAAGCTCACCTCCATCGCCACTCCTATGAAGAAACATGCTTCTACGTGACATGGAACTCAATTATGATCTTTGACCGCAGATTAGGGTTTTCCTTTTGATGTGAAACTAGTAATAATAGCAGCACCATTTTCCCTCCTCTTTATTCTCAAACTGATTGCTAATGAGAACACACAGATCAGTAATAATCATAATATTCTGGCCAAGGGGTTTTCTCTTTCCTTTTCTGTCTTCAGAGTCCTTTCCAGAAGGAAAAGGTGCTGCCTCGCATTGTTTTATTCCTAATCTCTCGGTGAAAAAAATGAGACAGATGAAGTGACATAAAAACACTGGGAATATATTTTTAAAAACAAGACAATAATTCAGATCTTGTTTTAATTCTTCTCTACATTACCATGGTAAAACATTTATCAAAGTCCAAGAGATTACCGATATGCTATAATGACCAATGACTTTACATTAAATAAACTCATCAGTGAAGTTACTGGAAAAAAGTTCAAATGTAAAGGGTGATTTACTATTCTCTTTATACAGTATTGAAATGACCATAACACTCAAACACCAGAAAGTCCTAAGTAATATTAAACAGTAATTCATAACAGTTCATAACTGTGAAATGCTGCAACATCTTAAAGTACTTTCTGAATGACCAGAATGGATGAAATTTTGCTTAGTATAATTTTAGCTTTTTTACACAGAACTATATATTTTGAAAAACTGGTAATCCACGTAAGATATACACAAAACCCTTACCTGACTAGACTGTTCGATGAATAGAACTCCACGTTGCTCTTTGTTACGGACTAATGAGCTTATAATTCAATGAAACCCTTTTCACAAGTTCTAGTTTCTAGAATGGCAAGTTCAGATAGTTTGGTCCTATTAATTTTATTAACAAAAATCTCCGCTTCCTTTATAAGACATGTAATTCCTCTTATTATCACCTTCAAAGGGCCAGACTTCATTTCTGTCTAAATAAACCACGAGTGTAACCCTCCAGTCCCTAGTCCGTGGGCACTTCATGAGCCTCAATTCAGTGTTAAGTCAACACAGTGACCTTCCCATGAGTTTGCCATTGGAGATTTTAGTCATTTTAATACTTTCCACAGAATACCCTGTCTTTCTCTAGGCTTTCGTCAAATTAATAATGGCATGTGGTATTCCTTAGCATAACCTGCCAAAATGTGATAATTTCCTTCGAAGAAAAGCCATGAGCTGCAATCACACGTCTGAGTTGACAGACATCCAAATGGATCCTATACAAAAAGAAAAGGTTGGTGTCTTCTGGAATATGGATGTCTACTTTTAATAAGTTCAAACAGATCCCAACATAAACATCTTCAAACTTGATGGGTTTTACGTGACTCATCATTTCATAGATTCTTGGCACCAAATCTCTGGACATTATATAACCCAACCCACTGCAGTAAGGAGGAAACACCTTGAAGGGATACTCCTGGTATGAAATATGGGCTTTTTGATAAAATCCTCTATAGGAATAGTTATCGATCAAAGGATAACCTGTGAAAAACTTCTCTGAGTGGTTTACATTTAAAAGATACTTCACTAAATTGCCAGTATTGATGAAAACATCAGTGTCTGTCTTCATGATGTACTTGGCATTGGGGCAAAACTCAGTTACCCACCTGAATGCCATAATTGTTTTCAAGGTCAGATTATTATATGTGTCTAAAAAATCCTGTCGTATTATGTCACCATAAAGAAGGTGTTCATCCTCTAAGGACAATGCTAACATTTTGTCTTCCTTTTCAGCCTGTTGGCCTAGTAAGAAAAATGTAAGAACTTCATATCCCCACCAAGACTTTTTTTCACCCCAAGTAACTCTAATGGCCTGTCTGGCTTTCACATCTGAAGGGTGTGAGGTCACCAGGATGACAAGAAATGGGTTCTGATGAGAGCAGTTTGAATGCTCTCGAAGTGTGAAGCGAAAGTCTTGTCTGTAAATTGGCTCATACTCATAGAAGTACATCCAGTTTACACGTTCTATTACATTGTAGTGGGGTAGGCTGAGGTACCACATCACAAGGAAACTCAGGAGTGACAGCAGGAGGAGGCTCCATTTGAGGGATCTCAGTGACATCCTACTCGGAAGGGTGGTCAAGAGAGAGAGGGCCATCCACAGCAGCTCAGAAGCACGTGAGCCTCAGGTCCTGCAAGATTTATCAGAGAGCTGGTTAGTACTCCAGTACCCAAGATTCATTATTAAAAGTTCATCTACTTAAAGTGAAAGAGTTGGGACGAAAGCTCTCAAACAAAACCCAGCATCCTGATCTGAACCTACTTAATTTCATTTAACTCTAAGCAAATGTATACCAACAACCAAGAGTGCATTTTAGCTTTTTACATCAAGACCGAGGTTAAAAACATATCCTTCTTTGCTTTGGGAAAGTAATTGTTGTTTGGTTTAAATAACTGTTGAAATAGGATTTTGTCCTGAATGTCCAGAGGGACAGGGAGAGATGTGTAATGGAGGTTAAAAAATAAACCTGCAACAAAAACAAAAACAAAAAAAGCCACATTTCTTCTTCACTGCTATGGAAAAGAAGTAAAGAAATTAATGCAAGGAGCTATTACCAGCAACATGTCCCATTAAACCAAAGGTCTTTCTCCTATGTGTGATCTGATGTGCATTCTAGCAAATCTGGAATAAGGAAAACCCAGTAGCTACAATTAATTATTCATGTGAAATGAGATGAAAGCAGAGACTCTTCACCTGAGAGGCAAGCCCTCTAGACATAAACAGGATAACCATCTCCATAGCTTTTTAAATGCTCAAGACTGAAATACCTTTTATTTGCCCAAAACACATCCCAGCTCCCCTTTTACCTCACTGGTTGAACTCAGTGCTCAGTCTGAATAGCAAGGGCTTAATATTAAAGGCCTGTCCCTAGTACTGAGTGTTCATGTGTTTCCCATTCTAGTCTATTTCAGAAACCCTGTGCCAGATCAGAATCGTGGGATGGAAGCTCCAAGAACACGTGCTTTTATACTCAATCCCCCCCCACCTAGCTGAGATGAGAACAGAGGTAGGAGACACAGAGCACTCAGCCCGCAGTGACAGTGCAGCCCCTGCTCTGCGCTAGATCCCAAGGACAAGGCTGGTTTACAGTTCAGGACCTTGCACAGCTTTCCTGGGATCAAGATATAAAGACAAACACATGCTAAGTGGTTCCTAGATCTTCCCCATCCACAGACTATACGAGGCACCAAGACCAAAGGAAGATGGGAGAAGAAGAAAATCCCAAGGCAACAGGGAAACATGGCAGGATGGTGTAGCACAACCTGTTTATATCAAATGTTATAGGACCTCAAAATAAGGGACAAATCAACAACATGAGGGGCAGGCGGAGTAGGCTCTGATGGTGTCCTTTCATCCACAATCAGCTGCGGGGAGGGCTCCTCGGAAGCCAGAATTTATTATGGAAAGTATACATTAATGTCATTATATGGAATGGCTGGCCTCCCAAGGGTTCCACCCTGGGTCAATCTTAGGTCTTTGGACAGAGAGCTCTTCTTACTCTTAATACTATGAAGATGACAGGATCCCAAGACTCCGTGTCCTCTCTATCTGGCCATATCTTACCTGCCCTGATTAGTTCTGGCCACGGTAATCTTTCCTTTCTTTGGTGCATGATACAATGGAATGTTCTGACAAACTCTCCAGTTTCACATATATGCGTCTTGCCTCTTGGTTTATAGTCCATGACTTTATTGGCAAAGTTTTTCTCACATAATGAAAGTGCAAGACAGAGAAAGACCTACAGCAGGAGTGCAATAAACACAGACTTTTGTGTTATGCTATTTCTAGTTGTATATGAATAAAAGGTAGGTCTGTGTATCCCACTTCATTTTCCTTTCTCCACCTTACTAGGCTACACAGCCAGCTCGGAAAAACATGAAACAGAGAGACCTAGAGAAAGGATTAGAGAAATAATAAACCTCTTACATTTTCTCCTCATCTGGCTACTAGACAGTGCACAGCCTTACGATGCTCAATTTACACCTTAGCCAACGACGATTTGTAAATTTATGACAATAGTTGTCAGATGACAGTTTTACGTCTCATCTAACAAATCAGCCCATTATAATACATTTCAGACAAACAGGAAGAAAGTATCCTGTGTGAGGAGCAGCATTTATAATTGGACATAGGCAACGAAGGCCCTGTTCCCCTTCAGTAATGGGAAGAACTCAAAACAGCAAATCTTATGACAAAAGTTATCTTATGTGCATCCTATAAGCCACAGTTTCTAAATGTGAAAATGGGACTGTGGTTGTGACAACTACTCCTTGTGGGCCCACAAAGATAATAAAGTGCCAGCGAGGAGAAGAGGAGCTTTCTGGTCCAAAAAAGGGGAAAGGTCTTTAAAGGACTGGCCAGACAGACTGTAGATTACCCACAGCACAGGTGGTTCTAAAGGGAGAGACCAGAGTCCACCCCCCAGCTCTGTCCTTCAACAAACAAGGTGAGCAGGCAGGTTCTTATTCTCTTATAACCTCAGTTTCTGTATCTCTACACTAAAGATGTCAGGACAGTGTAAATGGGGGATAACGTGTACAAAACACATCGCTGGCCGTTAAGTGTCCAATAAATAGAGTCTGTCATCACCAGCTGTGTTCCTCTCTTGGCAGCTATTCTATCCTGTTTGTGTTCTCTACATTGATTTTTATTGTCAAAGGAGTTATCCTACAAAAATAATCTTTATGAACTCTTACTACTTTAAGAAAAATGTTTCAGAGCCATGAATATATTTCAATTTCTTACCTACTTCTTGATTTATTTCTTCTGGGTAAAAGACCTTCAATTTCATCAACTGGATATTCAGTAGTCTGTAGCAGTCAAAAATAATGTTTGAAATTTCTGTAAGACAGATAAGAAACTTAACAGCATTTACTTATGAGTCAGGAGATCAGAGGTCAAAGAGGGGAAAAGAAGCCAGCCCACCTCCTCTAATTTCTTTCTTAACTAGCTACAGATACTGAAATAAAAAGTTAAGTCACCACCAGTCCACAGAACTCAGAGAGTTCATGGCTTCATTATGGAAAATGAGCACTTGGTATTCCAGGCTTAAAACATACATCCAAGTTCTTACCTTAACCGCTGTCCTAGGTCATGCTACCAGTTTCATTTCCCTGATTAAGAACTTGAGGGTCACTAAAATAAGTGATACACAAAACTTCTAAGAGACACTGTCTGGTATCCTCTCTTTAATTGTCTGTTCCACAGATGCATTCACAGGAGGCAACCCTGACATGAGACTGTCAACTACCACTTCCCAACCCACCCTTCTCCTTTGAACCTACATCTCTATTCACAAATACCCCAGGAGCATTAATAAACTGTGAGAAGAGAAACAGTGAGGCAAATCCCACTTCCTGCCATGATTCAGTAAGTTCATATCTTGGTTTCTACTAGTCAGTTTGAAAACCAGAGCAAGACACGAAAAGCAGGGAGGCACTGACATATATCAGATACCTCTCATACAAAAAAATTTCCCAATGGATTAAAGATTCAAGTGAGAAAAAAATGAACCTTTCATAGCACTAAAAGAAAATATGAATATTTTAATAGTTTTGAAATGGGGAAGATCTTTTAATTACTCAACTGTAAGGAAACAGCATAGAACCCAAAAGAACCCATAAAGGAAATTTTGATCAAAATTTCAAAAATTTCTTAACAAGATTGAAAAGCAAAAATATAAAAACAAAAAACTGAAAAAATAAACAACAATATAAAGCACAAACAAGGTTAAAGATAAAAAGCCACCTGGGGGAAAAAAAACACCTGAAATTTCATGACAAAGATTTGTAAGCCCAATAAAAATAGAGACTTAACATAAATTAAGAACAAGATGAATATACTATAAGAGAATAAATGGTCAAAAGAGAAATTCTCAAAAAAACTACTGATCCCTCAAAAGTGATCAATAAAACAGGAAAAGATGTTCAAATGCACAAGTAGAAATATTGACAAAAATCGCAAACCAGCAAATCCAAGGAAAAAATATAACAATACTCAGTATGTGTGAGGAAAACGGCATTCTCGTGCACTTGGGGGGGGGGGATTTGAAAACATATAGCAAAATTTTAAATATGTACACCCTTTGACCAAGCAATACTACTGCTAGCAATTTATCCTACAGAAATAAACAGGTGACTATACCTAATTTATAATATGAAAAATATCTGATTTAAATGCCTCCCACTAGGGAACTGGTTCAACAAAATTATGATACATCCATACAGGAATGTATGTTTATTCATTATATGCAATGAAGCTTACTTATATTCCCTTGATATGTTACTAAATGAAAAATGCAGTTGCAAAACTGCTTATGTGCTATGAGTCCTTTTGAAATATGAAAAGATAATGATCTATAAACACACAGAGTCACATATGCTGAGCAAGATTTCTAGAATCATGTGTTCCAATATGTCAATGGTTTTTATTCTGTGGGATTTCTGGCAGATTTCTTCTTTCATTTTTCTTTCTGTATCATATGGATTTTTCCATGCTATGATGCACAGTCTTTGTAAATACATAAAAACAAAGCCAAAAAATTTAATTTTATCCTTGTGTATCTCAAAGTTCCACTGAGCAGCAGCAACCCTAAGCTTGTAGTCAGGATCTGAGTTTCATCTTATCCTAGTTCTTCTCTCAAAGTGTGACCAATTCATGATATTTCTATTTGGTATTATTCTCTCTTATTCCAGTGAATATTATCTCAATATAGTAAGGAATGATTTTAAAAATCTACTCAAGGGACGCCTGGGCGGCTCAGTGGTTAAGTATCTGCCTTAGGCTCAGGGTGTGATCCCAGAGTCCCAGGATCGAGTCCCACATCGGGCTCGCTGAGTGGAGCCTGTTTCTACCTCTGCTTGTGTCTCTGACTCTCTCTCTCTCTCTCTGTGTGTCTCTCAAATAAATAAATAAAATCTTTAAAATAAAAAATAAAAAATAAAAATAAAAATAAAAATAAAAATCTCAAAACATAGTAATTGGATTTATATTAAGTTATATTTATATAATTATAATATTTATATGTAATTATATAATTATATTTATGTGATATTAAATTATATTTACATATTAATATAAATATACTTATATTAATATAAATCTTAATAGAATTTATATTAGCTAATAATATTAGCACTTTACATATGTATATGTATATACACACACACACTCACATATATCTAAAATAGTTTATGAAGTATTCACAACAAATATTATTAGTTCCCTTCAATAACTCTATATACTAGGCCAGTTGATTTTATACCTATTTTATAGCTAAACTTTAGAGATTTCAAGTGAAATAAAGACACTTTCAAACAGAGCAGGACTTATAAAGTCCACAAACTCTAGCTGAAAGTACCAAAGGACTATACTTCAGAATGTAGAAAAATGAACTCAGGAGGATGGAATGGCATCAAAGAAACAAACAGAAGCAAGGAGATAATTATAAGATAGTAAAAACTAATACAGATAGTAAAACAGAGAGAGAAGAATAAGAACAAAAATGATTTTTTTTTAATGTGGTCAGAAAAACTGAAACTAAAATAACATATAAAAATGACAGGGTTGCTGTAAAAAGATTTTTACAAAATTAAAATGTTAATATTCTTACCTAATTCAGAAGGCACAAGGAAAGAGTGATAAACTTTAACACTATACAAAAAAATTCATTTAAGAATATATATTAACCTTCAGAAGGACCATTGATATAACAGATAGGTGGAATGTATATCTTCCACACTGAGAAATAAAAGGAACAAAGCAAGCTATCAATTCAATAGAGAGTAGGAGAAGAGGAAAAAAAAAAAAAAGCAGAGAAAATGCATGGCAAATAGAAAACACAAAATATGTCAGAACTAAATACAAATGGGGACCCCAGGTGGCTTAGTTGGTTGGGCATCCAGCTCATGGTTTAAGCTCAGGTCATGATCTCAGGGTCACGAGATCAAGTCCCACGTCTGGCTCTGCCCTGGGCATGGAGTCTGCTCAAGATTCTCTCTCTCTCTCCCTCTGCCCCTACCCCACCCCTTCTAAAAAAAAGTAAAATGAGAAGTTTAAAAAAATAAAAGAAGTAAATATAAATATATTGTCAGAGTGAATATAAACTCACCTACTAAAAGATAAGAGACTCTCAAATTGGCTTAAAATTCTGCCATTATAATGCTTATAAGACACATGCCTAAAACAACAAAAATTTTAAAATTAGTAAATAAGAAAACATATCAGGAAAATGCCAATCAGAAGGCTGCTACAATTAAATATTAATGTCACATATTTTAAATAAACAGCAATTAAAAGGGACAAGAAAATTGTGCTACCAGTAAAGGAGCCATCCAATAAGATAATTTAACAATTGTGAAGCTACATAAACATAAAAACAAAGCCTCAAAAATATATAAAGCAACCTCTGAAAAGTATGAGTACAAATGGAAAAATCTATAATCCTAACGAGAGGTTTTTAACAAATCCCTCTAAACAACTAATACATCAAGCAGGCCAAAAATAAGGATATGAGTATTTCAAATAATATTAACAAATGTAATTTAATAGAACAGTAATATTTGTTTCAAAATCACATGAGACATTTATTTAAAAATTGATGTTAGGTTATATAAGCCATTTTAAGAATCTTTAAAATTCAATTTAACAGGGATGCCTGGCTGGTTCAGCTGATAGAACATGTGACTCCTGATCCCAGGGTCAGGAGTTCAAGCCCCATGTTAGATGTAGAGATTACTTAAATAAAACAAAAACAAACCTTAATTTAACAGAGACCACATTATTTGACCACAATAGAACAAAAATGTAACTTCAAAAACTCTTAACAAAAGAAACTTGTTTGGAAACTCAAAATCCTTATACACACACAATTTCTGTTTAATCCATAAACTTAAAGAGAATACCATACTGGAAAGTGTAAAATATGTGCAACTGAATAAGATGAATTTACTACATTTCAGTGAGGCATTATTACATCAACTCCTTAATTTAAAACTATTGGTTTGGGGCAAGGGGTTGGAAAGAAGACAAGGCTTTGTGGGGTTTGTTTTTATTTTTTGTTTTAAAGAATGCTCTATAGTTCAGGGAAGACAAATAGCTATAACCAAAGAGGAAAAACTCCTCTCTAAAGAAAAATGCCAATTATATATGTAGGTAGAATGACAAAACAAGAAAAGTATCATTTTGCAACCTCTCGTGAAATTACGGATTCAGGCAATGATTTTTTATTTTACTTTATTTATTTTTCATGAGAGACACAGAGCAAGAGGTAGAGACACAGGCAGAAGTAGAAGCAGGCTCCCTGTGGGGGGTGTGATGTGGGACTTGATCCCAGGACCCCGGGATCACGACCTGAGCCAAAGGCAGATGCTCAACTGCTGAGCCATGCAGATGCTTCCAGGCAATGATTATTAATCAGTGTTTTAGTCATCAAAGTAAAGATTAATAAGGAATCGGACATCTGTGTGGTGCTAAAGTAACACCACAAAGATGACCCTTTACCTACAAGGACTGAAACAATATAAATTTTATACTGGCAGAATTAGAGTGCTAATAATCAAAGTTAGCATTATAAATGGTAAACAAACACATACTATTTATCTCCCACCGAGATACAGTATGGAATGACAACATTATCTCTGATGAATCCTAGCCAAAAGTGTTCAATTGGAACCAAATCAAAATTTATACAAAATACCGAGAACAGAACAAGCTAAGGAACACCATAGGCAACATTCAAAGAAATCTAAGAGCTGGGATTGTCAATTAGCATGAAATCTTCAGCTAGTTATTACCAAGAGGAAAAAGGGATAGCTATAGATTTAAAATGATTTAAGGACACACAAATTGCTATGTATGGTCCTGGACTGGGTCCTGGAGAAATGTGAATATAATATATGTATCAGCTGATGCCAAAAATATTATTCATCTATTTATGTGCAAAAATGTTAACCAGTTACAAAAGAAAATGTTCCAGTAAATAAATGTGGTATATCTATACAACGGAATACTATTCAGTTACAAAAAGAAACAAAGTACTAATACAAGCTATAATAAATATCAGTTTTAAGAACTCAGAACATGGGGGTACCTGGGTGGCTCAGTTGGATGAGTGTCTGATTCTTGATTTCAGCTCTGGTCATGATCTTGGGGTTTTGGGATCAAGCCTTGCACTGAGCTCCGTGCTCAGTGTGGAGTCTAACTGGGATTCTCTCTCCCTCTGACTCTGCCCCTCCCCTGTTTGCATGCACCCTCTCTCTCTTTCAAAATAAATAAAAACAAACACCTTAAAAAAAAAAAACTCAAAACATGGATGAATCTAAAAAACATTAAGCTAAGTAAAAGAGGCCTGAAACAAAAGACCATATGTGTGTGTGTGTGTGTGACTCTTATTACTATGAAATATCCAGAAAAGGCAAATTTATGGACAGGTTAGTGGTTGCTTAGGGGTAGCATCAACAACTGGCTGCAAATGGAGATAAAGAATCATTTTGGAGTAATGGAAATATTTAAAATCTGATTTAGTGATGGCTGCAGAACTGTAAATTTAGTAAAAGTCACTGAATTGTATGATTAAGATGAAATAATTTTATGGTATGTAAGTCATACCTCAATAAAGCTGTTAAAAATAAAATTCAAAAAATTTGTCCTATTATTAAGAGTATATATTTAAGAACAGAAAGTCAAGATATCTGTATTCATTTTTAAAAATTTCAGTAATAAAAATTAAAGAGAATTAAGGAAAGAAATTCCCTCTCTCATTCCTTTATGGCGGAATAGAAAATGGTTAACACTTCTCTGGAGGGTAATTAATTTGTACAAATTACTTATACATTTACTCTTTTCTCAGTAATTTTGTTCCTGGAATTTATTTTAGGCACAGTCATTTATGTCTAAAATGATAAGACATTTTATTGTTATTAGATACAACATTATAATAGCAAATAATTAGAAATAACCCAAGGAATCATTAACAAGGTATTACTTACATAAACAATGATACATCCAAAACAATGGGATACTATACAGATGTTTTAAAAAAAAGAATGAAGATATTTTCTAAGTACTGACATGAAAGATTTTTGGAAAGTATTAAGTGGAGAAGGGAGATATTAGAACAATGTTTACAATGTGCTAACTTTCGTATTAAAAGAAAGAGAAATAGGGCACCTGGGTGACCGAGTCTGTTAAGCATCCAACTCTTGATTTTGGCTCAGGTCATGATTTCAGGGTTGTGAGACAGTTCCACGTTGGGAATCCTCACTCAGCAGGGAGTCTGTCTGAAATCTTGAAATTCTCTCCCTCTGCCCCTCCACCTGCCCCCCACCTCTAAAGTAAAATCTTTTTTAAAAAAAGGAAAAGAAAAAAATACATATATATATTTGTATGTGTATGAGAAAAACAATGGAAAGACACATACAATGGGCAGGGAGGAATAGAGGAGATCAGAAAAGGAGTAGGAACATTCTTTTTTTTTTTTTAAGATTTTATTTATTTGAGATGGAGCAAGAGAGAGAGCACAAGCCAGGGGACAGAGGGAGAAGCAGGCTCCCTACTAAGCAGACAGCCTGATGCAGAGCTCATGATCTGAGCCAAAGGCGGACACTTAACCAGCTGAGCCACCCAGCCACCCCAAGAGCATCCCTTTCTTATATTACTCTATATTTCCCTGTTATATTACTTAATAATATTATTTGGTTATATTACTTTGTAAGTTATATAGTTTTTATAATATCTTGATTCTTAAAACACTTGAATACATCAAAATTCGAAACAATGAAAATAAAAATTTTTCCCTTTTCATTTTAAAGTGGTACATATAAAAACACACTGGATATAACTAAAGCAGTCCTTACAGAAAACTAACTTTTTTAAGAAAACTAATTTTTTAAAGATGGTGAATAATTTATATACAATAAAATTCACCCTTTTAATTTTACTGTTCTGCAAAAGTAGATACCAGCACAATCAAGATATGAAGCAATTGTATCACAACAAAAATTCTACTAATGTCTCTTTTTTAGAAGATTTTTATTTATTTATTTATTTATTTATTTATTTATTTATTTATTTATTCATTCATTCATTCATTCATTCATTCATTCACAAGAGACAGAGAGAGAGGTAGAGACACAGGCAGAGGGAGAAGCAGGCTCCATGCAGGAGCCCGATGTGGGACTCAATCCCAGGACCCCAGGATAACAACCTGAGATGAAGGCAGGAGCTAAACCACTGAGCCCCCCAGGGATCCCCCTACTAATGTCTCCTAATCAATTCTTCCCTGACCTCCATTTTCATCCCTTTAGTTTTGCCAAACCAGAAAATGACATGTAAATAGAATGACACAGTATGCAGACTTTCAAGCATAATAATAGATTTTTTAAAAGACTGAAAATAAATGAGCTGAGTACTTAACTCAAGAAGTTAAAAAAGATAATTCTAATGTTATTACAGAAACAAGAAAACAGAAGGGATAAGATAAAGCAGAAAACAATGAAAAACAAAAAAGACGATTATTAAAAAACAAACATTAGGAACAGAAGGGAAGTGTCTAACCTGTCAGAGAAACTGTAGCAAACTTAATGATGAAACTTTAGAAATATTTCTATTAAAAAGTCAGGAAAAAGACAAGGATGCCCATTATTGCCTCTACTGTTCAGTGTTGTTCTAGAAAGTGTTACTGTCCATTAAAACAAGAAGAGGAGATAAGATGAAAAAACTGTTAAGGAAGAAAAGAAAACCTGCTATTATTTTTATATTATGTAATCACCTACATTGAAAACTCAAAGGGAGAAAGACAACATACAAGAACTAATAGGTTTACCAAGATGCTGGATATGAGCTCACATATGTATCTAAAACATAAAAACCCCAAAAATCTAAGGAAAAATACAGCACCAACAAAAACTACAGAGTGTCAAATAAAGCTAACAAAAAGTGTGCAGGACCCTGGTGCAGAACAGTAAAAATCTTTTCTGAAGAATCAAAAAAAAAAAAAAGTGAATAAACAAGAGAGAGCATTCTCAGGTATAAGATAACTCAAAAGTAAAGATTCCACTTTTCCAAATTAATAAATTCATAGGATTAATGAAAGGAACTTAATGATCTAGGAATAACCAACACAATTTTGAACACAAAGAATGAAGTTGGGGTGAGGTGTTATGAAGTCATCTCGCAGAG